TAAGTTGCGTAAATAATGTATGATACGTAAAAATATAAGTTACGTAAATAACGTAAGTTGCACTTACGTAAATAACTTAAGTTACGTAATGGGCGAATTATTGTAAATTGCACTAATTAGGCAACTTACGTACTTTACGCAAGTCATGAATTACAAAAAAAATTATTTTAGTTGAAAATTTTCTTTTTTAACTTTACAACAGTCATTTGTAATCAGAAATATAGCAATAGTAGTCTTTACGAAGAACTATAGTAAAATAAGAAGGCAAGGCAGCCGCAGTCACCTTATTTTACAATAGTCCTGTTGTAAAGGCTACTACAGTCTGTATCACTGATTTCCTTAGACCGCTACAAATGTGAACAGTATCCAAGATTTCCTTTTAACGTAGACTATTGTAATTATAACAAGTCTCTGCGTGAATGCCTACAGTACCCTTTCTGAATCTGTACATCTAAACTATTAATGATTCCAAAAAATAAATTTCAACACGATTAATACAGTGTTTGGATTCATTAAAGTAACTATAGTAATCGCTCCTACTAAATTCTTAATAAATGACATAGTTTTCGTAATCATTACAAAAAGTGGTCACATATCCGAGCTGTAATATAGACTATTGTAATCATTACGAAAGAAATTTTCTCCGTGTAAATGTAAACCTAGTGCCTTTGCCCCACTCTCCCCTACACTTGGCCTAAATTCTTCGAATTGTGAATAAAAGGCTACCTTGGAACGATAATGGGAAAAAATGGAAGCACCGATAAAATCATGAAGCTCGTTCCCGATTTGAATCGCTTCGTCATGAGAATCAATTCAATTCACTTCGGTTAAATTGAATTCTCAATAACTTACGGAAATAGACAGAAGTCCATTCTAACAATGCAGTCGGGATTTTGAGACGTGAAATTTTCAACCGAAATAGACAAGTTCCGATTTTAAAGTTAGTAAAAAAAGAGAAGAACAATTTCATTCAGCGTGAAGATGAGTTTTTTAAAAATTCAGAATGAAAATTAAAATAACCGTAATTGTTATTAATATTATTAATATAATACACTGAAAATTTTTTTTTAGTAAATTTGACTACTTTTTAACTACTTTTCTTAGTTCAATAAGAAGGTGTTTACACCGTGTGGTATAATAGTATATTAAGCAACAAGAGGATAAAGGCAGCCATTTCTTTACGGTGATTTTTGTGACACGAGTGGAGGTCGAGGGCGCCTATGGCCTCGTGTCACAAAAATTTTCGTGTCACAAAAATCATCGTAAAGAAATTGGCTGCCTTTATTCTCGTGTTACTTACGATATTTTTTATTCCTAATGCACAAAAGTGTCGATTTCAGATAGCAGGCGACAGGGAGTAAAAGTCATTCACTTGTTCGACTTGTATGAAAATGGCGGTCGTTTTCTCCCAAGGGCAAGAAAAATGCATGTGAACACGGCCGCCATTTTCATACGGTCGAAGAAATGAATGACTTTCCTCCCTGTCGTCCGCTATCAGAAAGCGCCATTTTTGTGCATGTGGGATAAAAATTAATATATTCTCTGCGCGCATAAACGGAAATATTCTCCACAAGCCTATATTCGCGCCTGCGCAAACACGTAGTCAAGGCAAAGCCTTTTACTACACAGCTGTAGGCAAACATTTTGCGCAGACGCGAATATATGCTCGTGGAGAATATTTCCGTTTATGCGCGCAGAAAATAAATTTATACCACACGGTGTAAACACCTTCTAAGTCCCCAAGGATATTTTTGAACTTAAATTAATTAGTGGATTTGTAGTTGAATGAAGTAGTAATACAATTTCATTAACTACTTTTCTTAGTTAAATAGGAACCAATGACAGTTTTGCAATAAAATTAACTGCTTATTTGTAGTTAAATTTACTATAGGTCAATTCCACGTGAGATTTTAGTCGACCTCTTAAAATCGGCCAAAATAGTATATTATGCAACAAGAGGATAAAGGCAGCCATTTCTTTACGGTGATTTTTGTGACACGAGCGGAAGTCGAGGGCACCGTAGCACAGTGGTTCAGAATGACAATTTAGTGTTCATAATCACCTACAGCCTACAATTTTTGATGAAATTTGACTTTCTTTTTTTCTAAATCTTCAGCGATAAATTCCCCAGATCGACATTGAGCCGGAATTTGGAATTTAATTTTGCAATATAGTTTATTTAAACAATTAAGTGAAAAATTTAACCTACAATTTCAATATTTGTCGAATATTTTTGAAAAAAATTATTAAATCAACTATTTAAGTATCTTAACAATGACATATATGTCCAAAGACAAAAAACTCATAATTAAAAATATTATTCCAATTGATGTTGACAATAGTTTTAAACAAATATCTATAATAATAAAAAAAATGAAAATAGTGCTTTTTTTGCTGCAAGAATTTAAATAATGGTTCAAACAAAAGGTAGGATAGAAGAATAATTGTTAATAATAATTATTATTATAAATAATTAAAATTAATTAATTGATTAAGAGTTTTTTTTTAAGTACATTAAAAAATGTAATAAAAATCCACTGAGATAGGAAATAGTATTCATTTATCTTTAGATAAATAAACATTTAGTTAAATAGTTGTTTAAACAAATTATTCTTATTTATTTACTTTTAACTAGTTATATATGCTTTAATGGCTCCTTAAGTACTTTCTATGTTGTAGTACCCGCTGAAGTCAAATTTCAGTTTTATTGATGCTTTTACTGTACCCTTTATATTAAATATATATATATATATTTTGTTTTCTACGTTAAATGAAATATGAAAATATGAAGATACATGCTATGAAATTTGCAAACTTAAAACCTTAAAATAATAATACAGAAATTGTTTGCAAATCCACGTTCATTGATTTTAGAAAATTTGTAATAGACATCAAATTCATGACTCTAAACTTGTTAATAATGTAAATGTAATGAATGTAATTTAAAATTTATAAAAATCAACCGATATCAATACCAACTTCATAAAAATTAAACAATATTCAACAAAAAAAATTAATTAAAAATGTTGTCGAAAATCAAAAATATGATTTTGGCTTAAAAATTTGGATTTATTATTAATATTTCATTTTTATAGTGAAAATTAGTTGTATTTATATTAAAAAGTAGCTACAAAAAGTGTCACATTAATTTGACAAAAATTTTAAAAATTTGCATTTTTTAATTTTTTTAAATTTGCGAAAATCGCTATAACTTTCGTTCAGCTCAATATTTTTCAATCGGATATGGCTAGAAATCTAAGTTAGACTAATACTTAAGAGACTGTAAAGTTTCGTTTTAATCGGTCTTTGTGTTTATCCCGGACAAAATATTGCGGACATACATACATACACACATACATACATAATTTTTTTGTCATTTTTGGAATTCTTACTACTCGAATAGAAAAACTAAACATAAATTTTCAAATTCTATGCAATGTACAGACAAAAGTCTGATCTTATTTATAAAGATTATTATTAACAATTATTCTTCTATCCTACCTTTTGTTTTTTAAACCATTATTTAAATTATTGCAGCAAAAAAAGCACTATTTTCTTCCTTTTAGGGTTCCGTACTCGGTAGGAACCCTATTAAAACGGTTACGGAAAATGACCATGTACCCCCCCCCCCTAGCGCTCACAGTTTTTTACCTAGGAAGATAAAAATTGGTATGCATATATATTTTCAAAAATAGATTAAAGGAAAAATATAGCGGAAGTGATTAGAATTGATCTTCATGGTGTTTTCATCGAAAAACTAAAATCTCTTTTTGCAAGCTCGAAAATTCTTTAAAATCTTTTTGAAATGAAACAAAACTATAAATATATGTACTTCGAAGAAGGACATCTAATAGCAACAAAAAAAATTTGCCAAATAAATTAAGACCCAAAAATAATGATCGAAAAACTTAAAAATCCAAAAAACGTTTTTTTTCTGACACTTCCAAAAACATTTGATCACCTCTGATTCTATGTTGAATTCATGAAACTAAACGAAAGTTCTTTAATATAAGTTGAATGTTAAGTACTATTCACAGTACCAATATTTCCATCTTAAATTGAGTCCATAGCGTCCAATCGCTAGTGAGCGGGGACTCCCTGTGAGCGGGTTTACCCCAGTCTCCCCTACCTTTTTCACAGTTGGTACTCTTCTAAAACTCTAACAAAAATTACATCGAAAATTATTCATCCCAGATAGCAAGATGCGCGCATACTGTCAGGTATATTTCGCGCACACGTGCTGGTTAACCCGCACGCGTGCCTGCACTGGATCACACAGATGCGTCCTCATATGAGGACTTACTGTTGAATTTACGAAAAAAGTATAAATAAGGAATTTTTAATTAAAAAACTTTTCAACATAACCAAACTTATTCGTAATTTTAATGTTTTTTAGTAAAAAAAATTACGAAATTCTTTTAATTCCTTATTTATGATAAACTTTAACTTCATTTAAAATTCCTTAATTCTTTAAACATTGTTATACATAAATAAATTACTACATTTTTTACCTTAAAATTAACTTTAGTAGTTATAGGAGAAATATAATTTGTTTAAACTTATCAAAATAATATGAATTATTTTGGACTCATGCAAAAAAAATGTAGAAGGATTACGCTTACATTTTCATTATTTTTCAACAATTTGTTGTTTAAATTTATTAGTAGTCACAAAAGGTTGAAGAATAACTCATAATAAGTGATAATTATTTACAAATTCTGTAAAATATTTGAACTGGCCATCTCTCCCATATGGCCATCTCCCCCGGACTTACCCCACATAAAATAGTTAAAATAAGTATGCAAAGATAATTAGACTAACAGAAAAAGTAGTTCCTTTTATTACTTTTTACTCTACAAAGGGGATGTAGTTGAAAATGTCTAATGAATTTTTTTCAGTGTATAATATTCTATTAACGTAATATGCATAAATTATGAAATAAAAATGTTGCAATTACGCAAAAATGATTAAAAATATTTTTAAATTTTTGTCGCACTAACCTGTGTTTAGAAATTGAGAATTTAATAATCAGCAGCATTACTGGCCAAGTAATCACGACGACCAATATTCGACGCCTGTTTGTTTTGGATAGCTTCCAGTTTTGGACACTCGGTAATTCGATGACCAAGACCACCACAATAACTGCAACCTCTTTCATCTAATAATAAAAAATAAGTTTTTGGTATATTTTTTTCGTCAAGCATAAACGAAGAAAATTTATTAAAAATAAATCTAATAAATTTATGAAATAAGAAAAAAATAAATTAAAATAAGTGTTTGTTATAATTTTACGCCAAGAATAGTCAAAAAAATTTTATTAAACTATTTACCTCCCAAATTGAGATATTTCTCGTTTTCAGAGCACAATTCCAACAGGAAGGTCGGTACTTTTTGTTTTGCTTCCATTAATAAATGTTTCAAGTCCAATAAGACTGATTCATCATTTGCTTTGTTGATGAAAGTCGTTGCAATGCCAGTACGACCAGAACGTCCAGTTCTTCCGATTCGATGGACTGGAAATCAATTTTTGTTTGTTGGAAAAAATGGAAAAATAAGGTAAAAACTATATAGAAGTAGTAATATTAATAAAAAAATTAAATATTAAATACTGTGAATAAATTAGTACCTACAAATATTGCAAAAAATATAAAATATAAAGTATAAATAACGTAAATTAACAATGAAGTAAAATATTTTTAATTAATAATAATAATATTAATTTTGTTCCTAAATTTTCGAAAGTTCAAATAAACAACATTTTTATTACTCCTTTTAATTTGAATTTTATTAAAAAATATTTTTTTTACATATAATGAAAAAATTCATTTTTATCTAAATAAATGTTCAATTACAGTATTTTTTATTTCAGTTTAGTAATTTTTAAAAATATTGAAATACAAAAAAGTATTTCGTTCATTTTAGCGTTTTAAACTTTAAAGAAAATAATTTTAATATTAATTATCTTAATTGGGGATTTAAAATTGCAATGCGACACATAGTGACCATAAAGTGAACTAAAAAAATGGCTGCTGTGGGTGTACAAGGTTGAAAAAAATGTTAATATTTAAAGTATTCTAATGTTTAAGAAATATTTGTTAAGATTGTTGTTCATTATTTATCTTTTTATTGAAAAACTACTTAAAATTAAAACCGAAAAGTCACAATTTAAGTTTATATTTTTTTAAATTTGTACACCCATTTCGTCCATTTTTGGTGTAAAACACTAGCGACACCGAGCCCGCGGTGGTAATTTTCATTGCCAATTAAATTTATATTTCCATATTATTAATAATATTTCAGTTAATTGTAGGGTAGGGTGGGGCATTACTATTCGCCGGGCAAAACTGTTCCACAGTCCTGGAGAGAAAACAATTCATCCGATTGAAGTCCCTTTTACACTGTATACTTGTCATATGAAATGAACATTGTACGCCACATTTGAGCTTCTGGCGCCATCTATCATAGGAGTTAGGTACTCAAATGTGATTTTGATATACTCGCTTACTTGTTTTCACTCATTTAGTTTGCCATTGTAAATAGTGATAAACGGTCGGAAAAATTATCGGGTAAGTGTTTTCTAAAGTCAAATTTAGTGCTGAACATGAATATCATAATGGATTTTTGATATTCTATTGTTCAAAAATTTAACAAGTGTTTTTTCAAAAAATGTGCGGTTGGGGCGAAACTATTCGCCCACTGATGACAGCGAAAACTACGAAACAGGGTATTTTTTTGTGTGCTTGTTTTTAGGTTAGAATGGTAAGAAATTGGAAGAGAAAAACCAGAAAAGTCCTCCAATTAACAAATTATTTTTTATATTTTTTTAGTATTATATCATTAATAGCTGCTGGAATAGTTTCGCCCCTCGTTTTTTTCGAGATAAAAAAATGGGTTTCGTAAAATCGCTGTAGTTCGGAACAGAATCGAGTTATACAGCAAAATAATACATGGCAAAATTGTAGCTAAGAAGTCAAGTTTTCAAACGGTCTTACTTATTTTTTTATTTTTTTTAAATACATTTTTTCGAGTGGCTTCTCACTTAAGATTCCGTTAGATTCATTTAAACATTGCTTGACAGATTTTTACGAAATCATGCGAAGTTGAGCGTTTTACCTAGTTCCTTGCGCACGCGGTCAGTGACTTTGACGGACTCTGGCGAAATCTAACATAATTGTAGTTTTGTTGATACAGAGTATGACAAGATCTGAACTAGAATTTTACGTTATTTCATGATTGAGAAACCCCTCGCATTTTTTAGACTCAAAAATCCAAACAAGAATAGTAATGCCCCACCCTACCTTATAATATATTAAATATAAATATTAATACATAAATAATGCTTATTATGAAATAAATAAAATAAATAACAAAATTTAAATAATACAGAATTATTAAGAAATAAAATTTTACCATAATTTTCAACATCGTCAGGCATGTCGTAATTAATTACATGTTGAACATCAGCAAAATCGAGACCTTTAGAAGCGACATCTGTTGCTACTAAAACGTCTTTCTTCCCAGCTCGAAAAGCCTCCACCGATCGAGATCTCTCTTCTTGATCTAAATAAAAGAAAAATGAAAATCTTAAGATTTGGTCTGTAATTTTTCTTGAAGTAAATGAAATTATTGAAACTAATAATTTTTTTCAATATTAGGATAGAAATTTATAACAATTAGGTATTATTTAAAAATTACGCGCCATACACGGTGGCTTCATTTTTTATTATTATTGCAAATGACAACATTTTTTTATTTTCAAATATCAATTTTTGAATTATTCTAGATTCCAAATTTAAAAAAATTTAGTTATTAAACCAATTAATATTATTTATTATTATCAAAAATTTTAATAAAATTCTTTATAAGAATTCAATTATTTTCATAAATAATAAAATTTTTCACAGGAATTCACACAAAAGTGTTAACTTTTAAATTTTAAAATATTCACTTATGCAAAATAAAATAATTTCTAAATTTTTTTGCAGTAGGGTAAATGCACTAGTAGTCGGACACTTAAGGATACAATCTTAAATTATGCTTTTTTTCTTGAAATAGCAAATATCTACTGTGTTTATAAGCACATTATTAATTAAAGGAGTTCTTCAGGATTAAAAATCATATAAATTTGTTACAAATAGTTGAGTATTTAATAAAATATAAACATTTTAATAAAAAATTACGAATGCTTTAGTAGTCGGACACTTTTTCCCCTTGTTTCTATAGTCGGACATCTGTCAGATATTTTGAATTTATAAAGTGAAAAAGATAATTTTTTAATTGCTATCGGCTGGAAAATGGAATTAAAGCATATTAGAAGTTATTAATATAATATTTAAACCCTATAAGATTTAATATTTATGATTAATTATCAACAAAACTTTGTGCCACTCATCGCGCTACTCGAAAATGGTTGTATCTATAGTCGGACACCATGATTTTTAAAACATTAAATAAAATATTTCTTGTTTAATTATTTTTGAAAATAACACTATTTTAATAAAATATAAACTTCACACATTCGTCTAGTATACTTTTTAAAGTAATTATCACAATGCATTATTATTTATTTGCCAAAAAACACGGAAGTGTCCGACTACTAGTACTGTCCGACTATACCCGCACTTACCCTATATTAAATTTTAAAATTAATGAAGTTCTACATTAATTTTTCTGAAGATTACTTACATAATAACAAAAATTAAATCCAAAAAATTGTTTTAAATTAAAAATAAAATAATTATTTTTAATTTATATAATTTGTTTTAAATTTAATAAATACGTAATAATTATTAAAAAAGAAATCATTTCAAAAACAGAAATTATTTATCAAAAATATTAGGAAACAAAAAAGCTAAGAAAAAGAACTAACTTCAAATTGCGAACAGACATCTGGAATATAAAAATACAAAATTTCACATCCGGACAACAATTAGAAAAAAACTAATCATTAAATAATAATGAAGTACAAGTGGCATAATCTGTCTGTCCGCGCTGTCGAAAAAAATAAGAGTTTAAATAGTTTCTATATTGCAATCCTAGATGTATTTTTGGTCGTAGATTATGCAGATTTAGGGAAAACTTTAGCGAACCTAATTGGGGGTCATATTTATGAACTAAAAAGGAATAAAATTTAATTTTTTCGAAAAATGTCAAAAAGTGACACTGTCCCCATACTGAACTTCTACCTATCGTCACCCATTAGGCTAAAATTCGGTACACATTTTCATTTTCAATTGTAGCAGGCTTCGAAGTTTAGTAGCAGGTCAAAAAAAGTATGAAAAAGTAGCATTTTGGAAAAAAAGTGTCCTCTAAATTGAAAAAAGTAGCAAAAAGTAGCATATATTAAAAATAAAGTAAAATTAGTTTTTTGAGTAAGAAAATTAAGTGAATATATGTTGTCGAAAAAATTTAAAGAAAAAAATATTAGAAATACGAATTTACAAAATTTTTATTAAATTTTGATATAAACATAAAACATGAAAATATAATGTAGCTTTTTTGTCGATATTTTACATTAGAATGTAAAACGCACTTGTTCATAACATTTTGCACATAATGAAATGTAATTGTTAATAATACTTTATTTATTTATTTATTTAATATCAGTGCCGTCTTTAGAGTTTATGGGGCCCAAGGCCTAGACACTCTGGAGGCCCCTTGTAAATTAAAAAACACCAAATATACCTTTTCATCTCGAATAGGAAATAACGAATGAGCAATCTCAGTAAACATTATTGTATTGTTAATTAATTTTTTAGATAGGAAGATTCTTATTTCAATATTTAGTAGCTTAGTAGCTCCATCTTCTTTATCTTCAATATTTACGCTATCTCATTTACATTTCGCGTGTCCTTTCTATGTTTCAACATATTTCATGCTTTAACTGAATTCGATATTTTCGATAGTCGATTTCTTTCAATTCGAGATTCTCACTCATGTCGTCATGTCTTTTTTACATAAAGGAAAATAAAGAAAAAATATCTTGATATAAAAATGTGAAAAACAATTCTGATTTTATTAATTAACCCTTTCGTGCCCCCAGGAAACACAGCCAGTGGGTTTTATTAAAACTTGTTACTCGGAGGGTTTTAGGGGTCCCTGATTACGAACCTTAAGTCAGATTTTAAAAATTTTCAAAATTCAAAATGGCGGATCCAATATGGCGGACATTTTTTCAAAATTGTTTAAATTTGCACAAAATGTGTTACTCGGGGGTTTTCAGGGTCGTTGATTACGAATCTGAAGTCAGATTTTTGAAATTCAATATGTCAACCCTGAAAAACCCCAAATAACATGTTTCAAGCGAATATGAGCAATTTAAAAAAAAAATGTCTATCAACTTGAATTTTGAAAATTTTGAAAAACTGACTTTCGATTCGTAATCAGCGACCCCGAAAACCCCTGAGTAAGAAGTTTTAAGCGAATTTGAGCATATTTTGAAAAATTAAATTTTGCTATTTTTATAACAATATTATGCCTATTGTTTATAATAATTATAATAATACTATGTAGTTTTTTATTTTTTTATGAATAGTAGTGACGTTGGTGATTAAAAAAAGCTATATTAATTGATAATAGGTTTAAAATTATAAGAGTTTTATTTAATTTTGTAAGTGGTACATATATGTACCGGAGGTACGAAAGGGTTAATTAATTATAAGAATATAAGAAATGAAACGTAATTATTTAAGTGGTGCTCAAAAAAGAGCAAAGGCAGAAGAAAAAAGGGATAATTTAGCAAAATTACCAAAAATATCTAACTTTTTCGAAACTATTAGCAATAACAGTGCAGTAAATACTTCTAGTAGTCCAAATGAAGTTAACGAAAATCAACAGAATATTGATAAGATTATTGTAGAAAGTGATGAGCAAGATAAATCAGGTAGGTTAAATAACAATACTTATCCAATGCTAATAAAAATTATTTCAGGTCGTTTTAAGGTTAGGTAAGATTGACACTTCTGCACCAATTTAGTAAAGAAGATTTGTCGATATACATATAGTATATATATTTTTTGAATTTGACATTTTTTCTGTTATAGGTATGTTGAAAGAAAATCTTCAGAATATTGATACATCCTCATCTCAAATAAATAATCTGAATGGAAAGGAAAATACTTTAGGTTAATTTGTTTAATATGCATATAATAATTATTTTTCCTATTTTCACAATATTAATTGTTCGGGAGAGAAAATTTCACACATATTTTGAATATTGATACACTGTTGTACCTATATTTAAAGATTTCGAATATTATAGTTTTTTAGTCACTATGATTTATTAATAAAATTTTTCAATTTAAACATAATTCAAAATACTGTGCAGCATAAGTATATTATAATAAAACTTATTTGTCCAGGTTAAGAATAATCGATTTTCATTTTACTAATAAGTCATTACATTCAATATTTCTATTTTGCAGAAGGCAATAAATCTACTGAGAATTATTCATCAGATCCAGCTTTATGGGATATTACTGAAAGTTTAAAATCATATTGCATAGAAAAAGGACCCTCATTTTGTCGAAATAAAGATAAAGATTTCCAGAAGTCTATTCGAACATACAAAGAAACGGATGGTAAACTAAAGAATAGGAGTATGCAAACTTCATTATTTTACTGCAAATTAAAAAATGGCGAAGAGATAGATCGTGAGTGGATGCTATATTCTCCATCGACTGGATCAATCTATTGTTTTGTGTGCAGATTATTTTCTTCAAAAGCAGCACAATTTAGTTCTATTGGATTCGATGACTGGAAAAATAGCATCTCACGTGTAAAAATTCATGAAGGAAGTTCTGAGCATAAAAACTGTCTTTTATTATATAGCAAACGCAAAAATATGAAAGGATGTCTTGATACGAAATTAATGAAACAATTTTCTTCAGAGAAGATGTATTGGGAAAATATATTACGTCGATTAATTTCAGTCATAAAATTCATAGCAAGTAGAGGTCTTGCATTTCGAGGAGAAAATCAAAATTTAGGTTGTACGGAGAATGGAATCTATTTAGGTATATTAGAATTGATCAGTGAATATGACCCTTTTTTAAAAAACCATCTTCAAACATATGGAAATAAAGGACGTGGACAAACATCGTATTTATCGGCAAATATTTGCGAAGAGTTAATTGAAATAATGGGAAAAGCTGTTTTTAAAACAATAATTAATGAAATAAAAAAAGCTAAATATTTCTCTATTTCCGTGGATTCTACTCCTGATGTTTCTCGCATAGATCAATTGACTTTTACTGTACGATATGTCACTGAAGAAGGACCTGTAGAAAGGTTTCTGACATTTATACCAATTGAAGCACATGGGTCTGAATATTTAGCTAATGTTGTAATTAACTTTTTAAATGATAATGACATATGTTTAACTAATTGTAGAGGACAGTCTTACGACAATGCTCCAAATATGTCGGGAGAGTATACAGGTCTACAAACGAGAATTAAAGAGATTAATAAAAATGCAAAATACGTCCCATGTACTGGACATTCTATGAACTTAATAGGTGAACAGGCAGCTGGCTGCAATTTACAAGTGACTTCATTTTTTA